CTGGCATCTCCCGAAGCACCCAGCAATTTTCGACATCATATGAAATGTAAATTTACCATGTGGATACGTAAATTGCCATGTGGATATGTAAACTACCAAAAAAAGTTCAAAAAGTAATTTTCTCTGAACATACGTAAATTTTAACAATAATTGTGCAAATAACTTTACCGAGCGGGTGGAGAGTAAAGATTTCCCAGTCCATTGATTGGCAACATAGTTTTCAAGGCCACGGGGTGAAATTTACGGATAAAATTACGCCCGTTTTTTTACAGTGCATGGCTTACTACACTCCATCGCCCCTGCCCTGCCCTGGCCTGTGGCCCCTCTCGTTGGATATTTATGTATCGCTGGCCGCTGCGCGTTTCCAGTCGCGTTTGCTTGCAGCAGCTGCAGGGTGACACGGCGACACGCGAGCCGTACACCGGTCGGGGTGGACGGCAAGGAGTGCAGCTTTTATGACGATATCTCACTCGCAGTGCCAGGGCATGGCGCGGGGCTTACGTAGACGGCACGACGGCGGGGGAGCAGTTCTTGCCACCACTCACACTTTGTAAGAGGGCAGAGAGGGCACGTTTTTAAGAGCGCGTTATCGTTGCGAGGGGGGTCCCTCCAGGAGTCCCGCGGGGGGCGAGAGGAGGGGGCCGAGGTCGTGAGGTGCACGCTTATTGCTGTTGGTGATGGTGGTGGGGATAGCATCCCCCTCGGTTATGCGCAGTGACCATCAGGTGTGTGTGTGGGGGTGGGGGGGTGGGGGGAGTACTGACCCCCTACTGGACATAGCAGCAGCAGCAGCGGAAACGAGGCCACACCGTCCGGCAGTCCCACTATATAGTTTGCCTAAGTTCCACACACCGTGTCGAGTCCCTCAAGGGGGGCGGTGTCCGGGGAGGTGTGGAGGGAAAGGTGCTCTCTCTCTCTCTCTCTCTCTCTCTCTCTCTCTCTCTGTCTCTCTCTCTCTCTGTCTCTCTCTGTCCCGCGCCCAGGTTGTAGGCTGTTGTGTTGCGGTGGGGAGGGGGAAAGGGGGAGCTGTGGCGGCAGGGGCGGCGGTTTGCCCCAGTCACGCGATACACGGTTCGGTGAGCTAGGCCGGGTAGGGAAAGGGGGGAGTGAGGGGCCCCCCTAGAGGGGTACGAAACGGACGGGGCTCCGCCGACCCCCCTCTCTCTCTCTCTCAGCCACAAGGGACTGGGTTGGGCTGTTTGCCTTCGGGGTTTAGCTAATTAGAAATTAGGCGTGTCGAATTCGTGCGCGTCGGTTACGCTGGCCTGGATGAGGTGGAAAAATAAAAAGAGAGAAAGACCATTCAGGAGTTTCCGAAAGTGGCGCAGCAGGCGTGGCGCCGGGTTTCCGGCGGGCGCGTAATTCGATGTTGTTGACACGAATGTCGCGTCCGCTCCGCGCGACCAGCCTTGCCGTGCGACTGCCGCTGCTGTTGACTCATTCCAGCGTGCTCACGATCGCCCATCGGATTTCCGATGAGCAGAACGAGCCGAGCGGCCGAGGCGGCGACGATCACGGCGACACGAGCAGCAGCAGGGGAGGATCGCGCGTATAACAACATTCCGATAAAGATGTTACCGAGAGGAAGGGGGTGGGGGCAGGCGCGGCAGGCGCTCTGCTCTCTTGTTGCTCGCGCGCTCGCGGAGCCGACGGTGCGCGTGGCTGCGCGTCGTGTGAAGGAGAGGGTGCGCGCGGGGATGATGAGGGAGGGCAGGAGCAAGCGGGCGCGGGGCCTCGCGGCGAGGAGCACCACGACGAGGGGCAGAACAACGAAGGGGTGTTCTCTCTTCTCCTCTCTCGATATATACACGAGGGTGCGGGATAGTCACAGCAGCAGCACAGCGCCGCTCTGCTCGGCTCGTGAAACAAAATTGCCTGCTGCTCCCTTCTCTCTCTTTGGGAAAGTGCTTCTCTTCTGCTCGTGTGACTTGCTGGCATCTTGCTTCTTATTCGCCCCCCTTTTCGTCCCTTTTGATCTTTATCGGTGTGTTGTTTGGTGGAGCCTGGAACTCCTGGAACTAGACGATACGGTAATGACCTGTCGCCCGACCATCGCCGCATATTTTAGTTTCGCTCTTGCCAGACAGAGCCGTCATGTCGGTCTCGCGGCGCTTTTTGCTGTTGGCCTCGGCCGGCTGGGCTGCGCTTGCCGTGGGTTTGCAGTGAAACTCTCCGCAGTTGTGTAGTGTCTGCTTTGCAATTTGCGCGACAGAGGGTGGGCGTTGCGGGGGGTTTGCAGGGAGGGGGACAGGGGGACGGGGATGGGGTGCTCAAGGCTCGCTTTGACCTTCCCCTCCCTTGTCACCGAGCATTCCAACGGCAAAGTTGGCCCTCCATGCGCTTTTATAGGGGACCCTCCGATCCGCCCTTTTTGCGCATGTGTGTGTGAGTGTGTGTGTCCTCTGGACAGCCGCTGTCCTTTGCGGTCAAAGAGAGTGAAGAGGCTCTCTGCCCTTTTCCGTTTCGATTCTTTTCACTGCGAGCGGCCGTTTGAACTGCTGTTCGTTTTTCCTCATGTCTGTCGTGCTCAAGAACAAAGGTCAATGAGTAAAAATAACAAATTTCCCCTGTGCAGCAACATGGCCGCTGCCTCCGTCGTTGTTGAACACGGTGGCCTTGTGCTTGCCTCAGCCCAGGTCGGCTCAGCCCTCTCCCGCCCCGACCCGACCCGTCCGACCGCCGGCACCCCGACGGGAGGCCCTCGGCCCAGACGGGCCTGACCGCAAGTCAACCCCCCCGCTGCCTCCTCCAACCCCCTCGCTCCTGGTGGTCCCTCCTGGCTCCCCGGGGGACCGAACCCGGGCGGGCTGGCCCCGTGTGATATCCGAGATGCCACCTGGACACCGGATCTGGCCTCCGCCGCCGCCGCCGCCGCCCCTACTCCCCACCCCCTTCTATTTGCTAACCCGACCCTCCCCTCCCTGGGAATCACAGGGCCGCGGTATAGACGAGCCTTCTTGGGCAGGTCGACGCCGTGTGCCTTTGCTCCTGCCTCACGCCCTCCTTGTCGTGCTGCAGGTGAGCCCCATGGTGGACGCCCGCCTGCGCGAGCCCCTCAACAGGGTCCGCCTGCTGTCCGTGCCCAGGGCCACCCTGGAGTCGCAGACCCTCCTGTACGAGGGCACCTTCGGCCAGGTGTGGCGCGGCGCCTGGCGCGCGCGGCCCGGCCACCAGGAGGACGTGATCATCAAGACTGTCTCGGGTGAGTACCCTCCCCGCCAACCGGAAGGACAGCATCATCCCCTGCTCCTGATCGGTCTTCTCGTCTTGTTCTTATCGCCATCCTTGTCTCTGCTCTAGATCAAGCCTCGGAGCTGCAGATCTCGGTGCTGCTGTCTGAAGGGCTGCTCCTTGCCGGCCTCAGCCACGAGCACATCCTCGCGCCGAGGGCCGTGTCCGTCGAGGCCGGCAACCGGCCCTTGCTCGCCTACGCCGTCGGCGCCAAGTACGGCAACCTCAAGAGGTGAGTGCGGCCATATCCTCTAGTGTGTATGCGCTGCAGCGGGCAGCCTGACTTACACGGCTGTCTCATTGTTTTGCCCCGCAGGTTCCTGATCCACAGCCGGTCTGGCGGAGAGGGCCACTTCGCCATCCTGACGAAGGACATGGTGCACATGGCCATGCAGGTGGCGCTAGGCGTGGCGTTCCTGCACACGAACCGCATCTGGCACCGGGACATCGCCACCCGAAACTGCATGTGAGTGCGACGGCGCGGCCTCGACGGCGTCCTTGTTGTGACAGGGTCCGGGACAAACGACCAGGACCCCCCCGCTCCTCATCCCCTCGCTCCACCCCCGAGCGCAATGTGATCCTGATCAGCCGCAGAGACACCGTGTGAAACCGAAGCCCTCCCGGCTGTGACGCGGTGGGGCGGGGGCGGGGACGGCGCTGGCAGCGGGGGGTGGCGCCATCTCAGCGGGGGCCTCGAGAGGCGTCGGCGGAAGCTCGCTTGGG